TTCTAATACTTTCCTTGGCCTACTTTTTTGTTTTATTGCTTTTCTGTCATCTCATGTGTTAGGATTTTATACAGTAAGAGATAGACCGCATATACTGAAAGGTACTGAAAAATAAACTCTTAGGGGAAATGCTCCTATGTACAAGATAGGCCCATTAAGATTTACTTTAATCTGAAATGAAAAGAGAATTTGTCAGAACAAATTTGTAAGAGTAAAATTTCAGCGGCGAATGAGGTGAAAAGGGGCAATAGCCAAGATTTTACAGGGAAAGTGGTGTTGGTGATTTCTAGAACTTTCCTGACTGGGGCCCCAGGTTGCCTTGGGGATGGGGATGAGGGTGAGGAACAGTAATCCCACAGATAAAAGCACATCACACCTAGGACTTCTAGAGTGACCGTATCTTCTTCCAGGTTTTGGCCTTGCTCAGATGGGGCACTAACTTCACAGCGATATTTCCCAGCATCAGTTCTTGTAACATTTTTGATCCGTATACTGAAATCTATCATCTCAGCTCGATCTTTAAAATCACCTTTTAGAAAAAGAAGACAATGATGTTAATAACAGTGCAAATAACTTTCTATATACTACCTTCCTCAAGTCACTTCATTCAGTGACCAAGGCATTTATTTTCCTATTAATAAACTCAATTTAAAAACTAATAAAGGACTCTTAAGTATAGGAAACAAACCGAGGGTTCCCGGAGGGGAGGTTGGTGGGTGGATGTGGTAACTGGGTGACGGGCATTAAGGAGAGCACATGATGTGATGAGCACTGGGTGTTATACGCAACTGATGAATTATTGAACTCTACATCTGAAATTAATGATGTACTATATGTTGGCTAATTGAATTTAAATAAAAAAAATAAAAACTCAAAACACTGTATGCAGATGCTGCTATTTCAAATTTCTTCTTGTTTTTTAGAATGACATACAGTTCACAAAAGGAGCCACATCCATCGATATGCTTTATGATTTAGCCACTTTATCAAATATGCTTTATTATTAACCAGAGGGTCTGGTTTTTAAATGTTATTGTATACTAGTAGAGTGAAAGAATGAATCTTTTAAAAATTTATTAAAATTATTATTATTAGTTCTCTATATTGTCTCCCCATCTCTGGTAGTACCTTTTCCATCACTTCCCTGGGGAGGTACCACCATCTTTCCCACTGCCCTTCCTCTCTCCACGTAAGAAATGGTATCAGCCCTCTCTTCTCCATCATTTTAGTTCTAATAATTTTTCTTCTCCAAATATAAGACAACTATGACACCAATGCTTGAAATGACCTTACCAGAGTTCCAGATTTTGTATTCATTGTATAGGAGCTGTTGGTGCTTTGGGAGCCAAGTTTTGGATTCTCTGACAAAGGGACGCCATCTTTAAACCATGTGTACTCAGGAGCGGGATTCCCTTCTTTGTCTTGACATCGCAGCTCTACCACAGTTCCACTCAGAGCAGAATTGGGTACTTCACAGGTTGGAACTGCTGGGGCCACTGAAGGAGGGAAGTCAAATGGCACTGGTTATTTATAAGCTTAACAAGGATTTTAACAGCCACGTTAAGATGGGCTTGTTGGACACCTGTGATAGAGACTGGCTACTTGCTCAAGAGATCCACTTCCTTTCTTCACGGGCACACAGCCAGACCACATTCGCCAGCCCCCTTGCACCCAGATGGGGTCATATGCATGAGTTCTGGCCAATGGCATGTGGGAAAAGTCATCTATGCCGTTTCCAGGCCTGACCCATAAACACGGATCTAGGTACTACTTTGAAGAGATTTTGGAGATGTAACTAAGGTCCCAAATCTATTGTCTTTTAAGATAGGGAGATTACACAGGTGGGATTGACCTAATCCCACGACCCCTTGAAAAGTTGTTTTCTCTGGGTGGTCACAGAAGGGAAAGTCAGAGATTCAGAGCACAGGAAGGACTCAACATGCTTCTGTTGGACTCTAGATGGAGAGGGCCACGTGGCCCTGCTAGTGCTGCAAGGGAGAGAGGGGTGCCCAGAATCATGCTTTCGTGCCCTCCTGTCACACCCTCAACACTGCCATGGTCACTATTGACCACAGCCATGACAGCCAT